TCTGAGACGTTGTCCCCTCACACACGTGGTACCACGTTAACTGTATCAGGTGTAGACTACGTGTAGACTACAGGGTTTTTCAAAGGTATCCCAGAAAAACTCAGCTGCGTCCAGGGAATGTGTCTGCTCTTCCGCTTGTTTTTGCAGAAGAGCAGACGTGCTCTATCGGAAGCCCTGTCTTCCTCCTCCCACGAGAAAGAGGAGGATTTTCTGAAATTTGGCCCAGTGTAGACGGGCCAAATTTTGGAAAAGCCTCTTCCTAAAAAACTATCGGAAAAAGGTACATAAATTGCCTTTTTCCTATAGATCATTGTAGTCTAGACATAGCCGTAGTGTAGTTAAAGCAGAACACTCCCCTTGTGGGGATGAATTAGACTGTTATGAACTGTATAGAGAACTCTCTCCCCAGAGGAATAACCCCTAGTGCACTTTCGTGCCTATGTAACTGCATCCATAGAGGCTGTTCCTGGCATCGTATATATATAGTAGCCCAATGTCTGTGACTCTGTAACGCTGAAATGCTGGCTGTTCCCTCTGGGTGGCACTGTTGCCTGAGTCACGTCCTTCGCCTCCCACTGTGCTGCTCGGCTGACTTCTGTCAGGTGCCACGGTCCCCATGCAGCACAGAGGTGCAGCATGGGGACCACGGAGCCCAAACGGCCATTTGTGCTGCTTGCTCCCGCACGGTGGCCCAGCTAAGCGGTGCAGAAGTCAGCCGAGCGCCACAGCAGGGAGGCAAAGGGGGGCAGGGCGGTGATGTACACGGCCAGGGAGTGGGGCCTGGACGAGCGTGCATACCCAACGGAGACAGAGAGGAGGGTGGAGGAGAGTGGAGGAGACAGAGAGGAGAACGGAGGAGAGTGGAGAGAGAGTGAGAGGCAGGAGAAGGAGAAGAGAAAGAGAGAGGCAGGAGGTGGAGGAGAGCTGAGGGGGGGAAGCAGTAGGAGGAGGAGAAAGAGAGACGGAGCGAGAGACCGGAGGCTCAGGAGAGAAGATCGAGATAGAAAGGGAATAGGATGTGGAGAAGAGACCCGAAAATCCCATTTTATGATGAGCTAATTGGCTAGTTGTAAAGAACAGCTTTGTCTAACCCATCCCACGAGGAATAACGGGGCTGCCGACAAAGGGCTTTGATGTCGGCAGGGAAGCGTCCAGACCAGCGCGCTGAGCGGACAAACAGCTGATCAGCTGTTTGTCGGCTCAGCGTGGCAGCCATGTAAATGTAAATGAAGCCGCGATCATTTAAATCGCGGCTTCATTTGCCTTTGCCTATGTGTCTAATCTACATGGCTCCATCGATGGAGCCATATAGTCTAGACACAGCCTTAGAAACTTGGTTCCCTAGCTGTCTTTTCTCCCACACTTCATTTAGATCAAGGGTTCTCAAACTGTGGGTCAGAATCCCAAAGTGGGGGTCACCAAGGGTGATGTTAGACTGGCTGGGGTCCAGGGCCAAAGTCCAAGCCCCACGGCCCAGAGCCAAATCCCTGGCTCCCGTGCCCCGAGCAGTGGAGCTTGGGTGGGTTCCGGCTTCACTCCCCGGTCCTAGGGTTGTGTAGCAATTGGTGTTGTCAGAAGGGGTCAGTGCAAAGGGATTTCTGAACCCGAGTTAGATGCTCAGCTTTTCAGAAGGGGACTCTCTCTCCAGGGACAGCGCTTTGCACTAAAAGGCCCCGGCTACATCTGGGTCTCTAGGCCCTGCTGAAATGCCAGGAGTAAATAACGAGGAATAGTTAATCAGGGGGAAATCTCTATGGGAACTACGGGGGCTTCTCAGCTCCAGGCACCCCCCAGCCTCCCTCCCATGAAACCAACTCACCCCAAACTGCCTGTTTCCCCCCTAGCCCCCCACCAGCCC